CCCCCCCCCCAACAGGAGGCTGCTGGCATTCGCCCCACCTCCCCCGACGCACTTCGCCTCGCAGCACACATGACAGAGGGACAGGCCAAGGCACTGGCCCTGGGGCACAAGCAGGTGATTCTTGTTTATGATTATTAATGTGGAAATAACTGTTCTTATTCTCGCTATTTTACAGAGGGGCACACGCAAGTGGTTCTTTTAAGAGAGAGAGATTTAGTGATGTGTATGTCGCATGCAGTTAGATGGTGAGCTGCTGTGCATCAGTGAAGGCTGTTAGCTAGTTAGTTTCCTTCTCGTGTGCAGTTGGTTACTTTTGTTTCGTTTTCACATATATATTCCTTCGTGGGATGACCCCCCACCTCCCCTCTTTCCTCCTTCCCCCTCCCCCTCTCCCCTCTCTCCTCCCTCTCCCCAACAACCTGCCGCATCCGCCCTCTTTCAAATAACCTCTTTCAAATAATTTAATATAATAACCTCTTTCAAACAACCTCTTTCAAATTATCTTTCAAATAAACTTAATTTAATAACCTGCAGGCGCTGCTTTTGGAAGCGGGCAGGGGCGAGAGCGAGGCGCAAGCGGCGGGGCAGACACGCTTCATCTCGCACCCGGACGAGGGGAAAGACGCCAAGGTCAAACATTTCCGAACGCGTAACCCTTCCCCCTTCCCCTGCAGCCACCGCGTGCCAAGACGATCACGGAAACTCTTCACATCTGACCCTTTCCCTCCCTTCTCCCCCTCCCGCCTCCCCCCTCCGTCCCCCCTTCCCCCCCCCCCCTCCCTCCTTCCCCCTCCCCCCTCCTCCCCCTTCGCCTGCAGCCGCCGCGCGCGAAGACGTTCACGGAAACTCTGCGAGCACGCGCCAAGGCAGAATCCATGTACGATTTGCTTGTGTCTTGACGTGTCTTTCTGTGGATGCACGTGTGTGTGTGCCTTCTCTACTTTTACGATCAATGTGCAAAGGTAGAATCCATGTAAGCGATTTACCCCCCCTCTTTATGTGTCTCCCCCCCAATGCACGTTTGTCCCCCCCCACCCACTCACCCCCCCCCCACACACACACACTCC